AAATAAATAAAATTTAAAAAAAATATTATTTGCTTGAATCAAGTTCCAAGGAAAATACACACATCACTGACTTTTAAATCCTTTAATCTAGTAAATTTCACACCCTTTTTTCTTTCTCTCACTTTTTTTCCCTTGTAAATTATATTTTGGAACTAGGTCCTTTATCCTGTAGCACTTCCCACAGCCCGGACTTTGCTGGCTACATCCTAGGCGTGTCATTGAACATGTTCCATCTCTTCCCAGAGCGGTGGAGATGCTAAAGGAATTATGCCCCATTCCCGGAGCAGGACACAGATATGTCATCTGCCTAGTTCCCTGCCCAATGTCCTTGGGGCCCAAGGCTTGCCTGCCACCAGCTGGCCTGCACGGGAAGGTCCTCAGGAGGCCATCATAATGGCCTGGAATCCCTGCCTGTCCTAGAGAAGACCATCCATGTGGTGGAGAGGGACTATCCCTCGTGGTCCTGGGTCTCTCCCCGTGTGAGCTCTGGGGTGAGCCTGACTGGAACCAGGCCAAGCCCAGCAGTTAGAAGCCATTATAAGATGGGAGTCTGAACAGGGCTTATGTCCTGCACCCAGTGAACTGGGGAAGCAGTTGCTGCCCAACCCTAAACTGACTGTTGGTTACTGACTGTTGCTGGGCACGTGCTAAAGCGGTGGAAGACTGATGGGTGTGGGAAGTTTGTGAAGAAAAAAAAAATGAAATACTGCTAGTCTTTCCAAGATTCCTAGAAACCAGTGTTGCACATGTTCCCCACAATCCCCCAATAAAAGGGTCCTGTTGCCCCAAGGAAACCCCTAGACTGATGCATTTTGGGAAATCCACCAATGGTACAGTTTTGCCCTCATCTGAATATTCTCATTTAAGTGAAGAAGCCCTACCTCCACACTGAGCTTGGTAAATGACACTTTGTCCACCTTTCAGGTGCTAGAGGAGTCAACAGAACCTCCAAGGGCAGAAGTCTCATCGGGAAGAACCCTGGAGGCCCTCCAGTCACCAAAAAAGGAGTTACAGTGGCCCCGGGCTTTGCCGTGGACGAAGTCTCTGCGTCCATCCTCACAGGGAAGCTGACAACTGTCTTCCTCCCAGTTGTCTACACAATTGTGTTTGTGGTCGGCTTGCCTAGCAATGGCATGGCGCTCTGGGTCTTCCTTTTCCGGACAAAGAAAAAGCACCCTGCAGTGATTTACATGGCCAACCTGGCCTTGGCGGACCTCCTGTCCGTGGTGTGGTTCCCCCTGAAGGTCGCCTACCACATACATGGCAACAACTGGGTCTACGGGGACGCCCTCTGCAAGGTGCTCACTGGCTTCTTCTATGGCAACATGTACTGCTCTATTCTCTTCATGACCTGCCTCAGTGTGCAGCGCTACTGGGTCATCGTGAACCCCATGGCGCACCCCAAGAAGAAGGCCAACATTGCCATTGGGGTCTCTGTGGGGATATGGCTGCTGATCCTGCTCGTCACCATCCCCCTGTACGTCATGAAGCAGACCCTCTACATCCCAGCCCTGAACATCACCACCTGTCACGATGTCTTGCCCGAGGAGGTGCTGGTGGGGGACATGTTCAATTACTTCCTCTCCCTGGCCATTGGCGTCTTTCTGTTCCCAGCGCTCCTCACGGCGTCTTCCTATGTGCTCATGATCCGCGCGCTGCGGTCTTCTGCCATGGACGAGCACTCGGCCAAGAAGAGGCACAGGGCCATCAAGCTCATCGTCACTGTCCTGGCCATGTACCTCATCTGCTTCACGCCTAGTAACCTTCTGCTTGTGGTACACTATTTCCTGATCAAGAGCCAAGGCCTGAGTCATGTCTATGCCCTGTACATCACTGCTCTCTGCCTGTCTACCCTAAACAGTTGCATCGACCCCTTCATCTACTACTTTGTCTCTCAGGATTTCAGGGACCACGCCAAGAATGCTGTCCTGTGCCGCAGCGTCCGCACTGTGAAGCGGATGCAGGTCTCCCACACCTCCACAAAGTTCTCCCGGAAGTCCAGCTCGTATTCCTCAAGTTCAACCAGTGTGAAA